GTTCTTTGTGACTCTTGGAAGATAAGTGTGTTTATCTTCCACTTGTAAATTTTCTACTGATGAATTAATGAAAGTGTTATTGATCAAAAAAAAAATGGTAAAAAGCAACATATAGGATCCTAGTACAAAGGCCTAGAACCCCGAGTGTCAAGATGAATTACTAGGTTGTAGTAGGGCTTTTTTACAGTATACAGAATATTGATCTAGGCATTTGAACAAAATGAAGACCAAATACAGTCTTATTTATCTACGTTTAATTTAGACTTGCAAGGAAGATTATTTATGATATTATTTATCTAAACCTTTCTACAATTTATAAGACCATTTTTACTAGCAGGATTTTTTTTTTCATATTTAAGTTTTTTCTAAGCTGGGATTCAACCTGTGAGTGTGAGATCATGGTTGGGTGAAATAAAACCATGTCTTGTGAAGACAGATTCCTACGAAAGTACATTCCCTATAGGTAAAACCTAAAAAAGTAATAATACATTTTTTTTGCAGTGTGTAACACAAAGATTCCTATGAAAGTAAATTTCCTATAGGTAAAACCTAAAAAAGTAATAATACATTAAAAATATATTTTTTATGGTGTACTGTGAATGGTGAATACTACTACTACAGATATTTTTCTTATATATAAAAACTCTTCCAAATGATTTCAGCCAAGATTGCCTTATCTATGGATAAGCTACATATTTTTAGCCTTCTGAAAATTAATAACTAACAAGTACTTCATTGGATTCCATTAAATATACAAAATCTGGCATTTGCATAGAACACAGATACACTAGCATGGCTAGTTATCCAGAATGGTCAATGCATATATACATATATATAAAAAATTAAACAACACAAAGGGAGAAAATACCAGGCAACTTCTTGGGCTTCCTTAGAGGAACAAATTTTGCCCCAATAGCCAATGCAATAGGAGGACCAAATATGAAACCTCTTGCTTCAACTCCTGCAACAGGCATTGATGTCAAGTTCAAAGCTGGTAAAACAGGTAAATCAGCCTGAAAACCTAATTAGTGAATGGCTTCTTTAAATAAAGGTCGACCATCATGACAAAGACCGAAATACCACACTGTTAAAGACTAAGCTGCATAGTTCGATAACCATATTTGCACAAAAGCTGAGGCAAGGTTAATGCGTACATGAAAACAAGCCCACTGATTGTGTGCAACTCAGTCACCACTCACCAACAGGACTAAGTTATATATAATACCAGGTTTCTTTTCTGAGTTTTTTATGTCATTAAGCCATGGTTTATTTATCCCGTCCAATGAATAGAGGTCCTACTCCAGTTAAATGAGGTGTCACTTCATTCGCTGTATTATAGGGTTTCTGGACTCTGGGGCAATTTTAATAATAAAAGTAGTTTCTTATTTAATTTCTTAATTATTCTAAATATAAAATTAGAGAAAATGTATTTCTTTTGTTATCTGAACTATTCAGCCCCCTTACATTATCAGGTTATGTTTGAATGATTTACAAATCTCCTCTTACTCTTTGTGATATTACTCTATTAGATAATAAGATTAACATGTCCATTAATACTTCTGATGTCTACTTTATTTTTTATTATGAAAATGTCCAGCTTCACCACTAACGTTCCTCAAAATTATGGTTGGAGAATTTTATTAGTGCACAATGTCAAACAACTGAGCACTATTCAGTCTTAAGGCATGTTTAACACATCTGTCATCCAATCTCCAATTAAGTACAGAATTCAAAGTTTTAATGGATCAGATGAGAAGTATTTGTATCGTAAGTTACCAATACAACTTAGAAGCGATTCCTGACTCACCACAACGTATTCCTTATAACATTGGCCACGTACAACAAAGATACAATATCATAAGGTAATGCAACTCTGCAAATCTGTAATGATAGCTTCCTCGCTTCCTTTTAAACAACCACCGCATCGCAATGATAGCTTCCGTAAATCACATTCAATTATCGTACAATAATAACTTAAAAAGAAATGGACAAACTACAGTCAACTCTGCAAATCTGCATTCTTAAAAGTGCTTATTATCTTTCGCTGGGTTTGAGGGGTCCTGTCCATGCTTTTTCCAAGCGCAACAATGCCAGAAAAGCAGAAAAGCAGAAATAGATTGCTAAATATAACAAGAGCTTACAAGTTCACAGTATCCGTAGTAGCAGAAAAGCATAATCAGGTAACATTTCGAAGAAGGTGCATGGTTACCTGCAACAACAGATATGTTTTTGTCTCTATATCTCTCTACGAACATGTCTATTGTGTCTTTAAATGCCTTTGTATCAAGAAGTAGGGTGGTTATATCCTGAAACATAATCCCTGCGAGTAAAGAAACCAGATAAAACCATTTTAACATGCTAAAATCATGCAAAAATCGGAACACCCAGAAGGGGGGAAATTTAGGGCTCCAACTTCTAACTAAAAACTCAAAACACTGATTTGTGGGTTGAGATTGGAACACCCGAATGAGATAGAGAGTTTCTTTTGAAATTCCCTAACCTGGTCTAGGTTCATCAAAAGCAGGAAAGTGAACAAATTGGGGTGATAGAACAACCAAAAATACAGAGTAAGAAGTCAAGTTCCCTAACCTGGTTTAGGGAAGTCCGGGATGACTCGAATTGAAGAAGCAATTCTGGCAAGTCGATGATCGTGACCATCTTCGGCAGCCATTCCTTCTCTTCTCTGTTGGAGCGACTATAGTATACAGAACAGAAGCCACCAGCGAAGAAGCAAAAGAAGGCAGTGTGCCTTTGTTGCTGGTGTCAGGTTGTGTCGGTATCACCTATCAGGCTATCACGTTCGAGTCCTCATTCCGTCGACGGGCGGGAAATTACCAAAACGACAACGGCCTTAATGACTATAATACCCTTCATCAAAACATCTAATCTGCTAATGTTGTCCAACATCTAATCAAAACATCCCCTGAAGTTTCTGATAATAATAAAACCTCCCCTCTAGTTTAACTTTAGTCCTTTTATTTTTAAATATATCGACAAAAACCTCCCTTCCGTTGATCAATCTGACAGAAAATGGATGATTTTTTTCAAATACCCATTTTACCCCTGTTCGAGCCATTGTATACCTATACTTACTAAAATACCCTTTGCCCCCTCCAACCAACCACGAAAGCCTGTCTTCTTCTCCCTCTCATTATATCATCTTCTTTTTTAATCTCCCCTTCTCTCCACTTTGTCCTGTTTATCTTTTCTTCCCAAATGGATCAAAACAACTCGTCCTCAGTCAAAACAGTTTTCCCTGTATCGATCAATATCATCTTCATGATTCTCAGAACCTTGGCACAAGAAACTCGATCAGCAAACCCACAGTTCGAAGCTTGTGCGCCTAGAAATTGTGGCAAGGGCCCAAATATAAGCTACCCGTTTTGGATTCCTTCTCTCCAGAAATCCTACTGCGGCATTCCAAGATCTAAGGTCACCTACCAGAACAGCGAGCCCGTCCTTAATATGCCAGGTGACGATTACCTCATCCAAAACATCTTCTACTCAAACAATTCATTCTAGGTGGTGAACACCAAGGCATTAAACAACGAATTCTACTTGGCCCCTCTCCACAATTTTTACCCTCCACGGTACTCCCTTTGAATTTGGCGATAATCACTAAATCTCTTCTTCTACTACAACTGCTCCAATTCCCTCCAGCAAATCACTTGGTATATCCAATGACTTGTGCTACCTACCACTCCTTCGCAATGTTTCTATTTGACGGGCAGTTTGGCTTGAATGAGGGATTTCTTTTGCAATGGGGTCCAAGTAATTGCATCAAATGTGAGGGCAGTGGCGGCCATCGTGGACTCTATAATAAAAATTTGTTTGCTTTTGCCATGATGGACGGCATCGCTTAAGAGACCGGATCTGCTCCTTACACCTGGTACCTCACATGCACATCCTACCATGCATTGGAAACATTTCCTGTACTTATTACTTATTATTCAAGGGAGATGTTCGCAATGCACGGTGGATGTGCGTGTGAGATGCCCATTTGTGAGGAACAGATCCCGTCACATCGCTTAAGTTGCAGTGGTGATGGTAAGCCAAATGATCATCCATGTACTCTTCACATTTCTTCTCTGATTCCTTTTTACAATTCTTTACCAATTTAGGCTCGGAGGAAGAACAGAGAACAACATGGTCTCTGTGTCTCTTTCTTTTTACCATATATTTTCCATCTTGAACCTAGGAAAACTGAATTGTGAAATAGGAAGCTCAATTTCCAGTGATCAAATTCGAAGTGGAAGTTAGTTATGTAGTGACTTGTGAGAATCGCCAATTTAGAGTGTTTACGACTCACAGCGCTATCTGAGATTCTGGTAAATTGGCATCCTGTTCTTCAGATTTCTTCCCTAGTTCGTTTGCTATGCTTGATTTGAAATAAAAGGTAGAGAAGCGGGAAGTTGCTTGCTTAATTGCCTGTTGGCTTACTTAGTCAATGGGTCTAGAAGGAGGGATCAGACGGCTATTATAAGATTAATTTTCTCATGTCCACCGATGAAGGGGAAGAGTACGAGCTCGTCTACTTCAAAAGGCTTGATGACGAACTGAACAAGGTAAACAAGTTTTAGCAGTCCATAGTGGAGAGTCGGCCAGCAAGATGAAGCACTGCCGTCGTCCCGTGAGGAATCGTTGTCGGAATATTCTGGGAAGTGGAATATCTCGAACACTGTGATTGTAATGAGTTTTTTAAGTAAGGGTAAAATTGGTATTTTACAAATAATTTAGATGATATATAAGGATAAAAATGTAAATTTTAATGTTTTTTCGTTGTCGGAATATTCTGGGAAGTGGAATATCCCGAACACTGATTGTTTTCTCAAGAGAGTGTAACGAGTTTTTCAAGTAAGGGTAAAATTGGTATTTTATAAATAATTTAGATGATATATAAGAATAAAAATGTAATTTTCAATTTTTTTTTGGTCAAATTCATTAACAGAAGGGAGGTTTTTGTCGATTTTATTGAAAATAAAAGGGAGAATTTTGTTAAAATTAAACTAAAGGGAAAGTTTTAATTACTATCAGAAACTTCAGGAAAGATTTTTGTCTTTTACCCTAAAATAAAAAAAGAAAATCTGCTAAATCGCAGCACACTATCTCTTGCCACCCCTCCAGTAAGACACGGACACGCCAGCGATCAAGTATGAAAACAGACCAGTCGAGACTTTTTTAAATTTAAAGACAATCCCTAGCGTGTCCGTGTTCTATTGGTGAATGAGCGGTCAGAACAGATTTTGCGTCGTCTATCAACGCTAGACAGCTGCCGCACAAACATGCCCATGTCTATCGGCCCACAAGGCACAAATTCTAAAGCACCGGACATTTGTTCAACGGGTAGATGATGGGAGCTGTCCTTCGGCTTCAAAATTATAGTGTAAAGCTAAGACTTTGGATTTCAGATCGACGTCCCATACATCCCAATCATGTATTGAGAGCGTGACGGGTGTAACCGCCTAATTTAGGTGGGTCCAATGCGATCCGAATTCATCCAGCCGCATCTTATTTGTATGGGCTGACTCGGCTTTGAGTTGGAGATCGGATTCACAAGATCATGCTCCCAGCCTTTTTCACATATATGCATGGGTAATATTTCCGTATTTATATGTTTTTTTTAATGGGAGATATTTTTAATGCAAAGCTGCAAGGATTGTAGAAAGATGTAAATATGGTTTTGTGAGGATCAAATACGATATCTTTGAATTAGGCCTGAGCTTAAATTTCAGACTTGGGCTCAAACCTAAACCTTAAATAGCCTTTATAGGGCTAAGTGGCCAATTTAAACTCAGTTAGATTCAAGCCTAATTTAAATGCATCAAATTTTAGTGCAGGTTGGGTTCAAGTTGGATAGTTCGAGCTTAACATCAGATTTGGTCGTTAGGCCCAATTCTTAGGATTGGACTTGGGTTGAACTAAAACATAAGACAGTCTATTTGCCTTGCACCCCCTAAGCAACGCAGGTAAATCCATGCAATGCGTGGAAAAATAAAAGTTTGGTTAGGGATGGTGCATTGGAAATATTTGCCTTGTCCTTTATGAAGAAATGTTCCCAATGCACATTTGCAAATGATTGTTGGGTTCATGCGTTAAGACCCAACCGAATCTGAATTTGTCTTTTATCTCAATCCAACCCATCTCATTTAATTCAAACCCTTGCTTTATTAGGAAGAGTCAAAAGGGATTAATGCCTTTTTTTGGGAAATGAGTGATTATTTCAATAGTTGCTTATTTTAATAAGCACTTATTAGTTTTTGGAAAGTGTTTTTTCTCAACTGCTTATTCTTAAAATAAACACTTTTTTGTATTTGATGTTTGTTGAACTACTTATTCCAAAAGTCCCTATTCAATGGAAATGAGATTCTAGCCCTCACTTCTAGGGGTGCCAATTAGATTGGATTTGGTCCAGTCCGATTCAATCCAATGTGAATCCATTATAAATGGACCAGATCCGATCCAATCCAATGAATGTTTGGGACCAGTCCAATTCAATGTTTGGACCGTCTAATCTGTTCAAATTCATTTTGATTTAGATTGATTTCAACCTAAACCCGGTCCATTGACACATATATTCTTATCTTATATCAATGGGCCAGATATTAGCTTAATCCAACCCAATCCAATATAAATTTGTTATAGACGGACCATGTCCAATCCAATCTAATAAATATTTTGGACCAGATTGGTCCAATCCAATATGTCTTCTTGGCCCATCTAATCCATCCAAATTGATTTTGGACTGGATAGGGCCCAATCCAAAATCGGTCCATTGACACCCTTACTCACATCACATAGCCACATATTGAATATGAAGAAAAGCAGGAAAAAATGAAAAAAAAAAAGAGTAAAATGCTATTAGAAACGAACTTGATGATTAATTTCCTGCCTTGGTCGCCACCGCTATCTACAAGGAAATAGATGAAGGGGAAGAGAAAGATGGAGAAACAATAGGATTTTCTGTTGTGTTTTGATAGTAGGGACATTATCTAGAAATAGGTCAAAAGATGGGGGACATGATTAGAAGAGAAATAAAACCAAAAAAGCGCTTATTCAATAAGCACTTAAAAAATTCTCAAAGTTAATTTGGACCAATTTTTTAAGCACTTATTCCTTAGATAAGGGTCTGTTTACTGTTTAGTTTGTAAGAATAAGTCTTCAGAATCGGAATGAGTCATTCAGATTCCAGATGTTTGGTTGGGCGGAATCGAAATCCGATTCCCATTCCAAGCGGAACGGCAATCCCCCATTTGAGGGAATGGCCATTCCCGACCCGCCCCCTAGGAATTGGATTCCCATTCCAGCTGGTTAAATCAATAAAAAGGAAAATGACGGACCTCAAACCCCCAATTCCCTATTTCTCCTCTCTCTCGACACTCCAACCCTCTTTCTCCTCTCTGTCGACACTCCCTCCTTCAAACCTTCTACAATTCGGTGGTTGGACTCTGAAGATCCGACCTGTATTACTCCGGCCAGGTCATGATGAATCTCTCTCCTTTTATCTCTCCCATTCTGCAAACCCTTCAACCAGCTCCCTCCCCTTCTGCAAAACATCTGTACCCATCCACCAAAGAGTTAAAGACCTCGTCTCTCATCATACTTTAGACAAGAAGATCTCTCAACTCATTAACAATGCGCCAACGATTCCCAGACTTGGTATTCCCAGCTATCAATGGTGGTCAKAATCGTTGTATTGGTGTCGTCGATGTTGGACCTGGCATCCGATTCAACAGAACCATTCAACGTGCTATGAGCTTTCCTCAAGTCATCCTCACTACCGCATTGTTTGCTGA